CCCCAAAAATTCCTCAATATCCCACAGAATTCCCAAAAATTCCACAGAATTCCACAAAAATTCCACAAAAATTGCAAAAAATTCTGGGATTCTGGGACTATTTGGGGAGATTCTGGGACATTCCCTGGTGGAAATTTGGGAGATTTTGGGGTCCTGGCCTGGATCTGCTTCCAAAAACCTGCAGGGATTCCAAAAAATTCCTCAAAATTATCAATTTTTGGGAAATTCCCAGATTTTTGGGGGGATTTTTGGGACGTTCCCAATGGATTTTGGGATCTCTGACGGATTTTTGGGACATTCCCGGATTTTTGGGGGATTTTTGGGACATTCCCAGATTTTTTGGGACATTCCCAGAATTTTTGGGGGGGGATTTTTTGGACATTCCCAGATTTTTTTGGGCATTTTTGGGACGTTCCCGATGAATTTTTGGGAAATTCCTGAATTTTTTGGGAGGATTTTTGTGACATTCCCCGGATTTTTTTGGGGGGGATTTTTCGGACATTCCCAGATTTTTGGGGGGAATTTTTGGGGTCCCTGATGGATTTCGGGACATTCCTGGAATTTTTAGGGGATTTTTGGGACATTTCCAGATTTTTGGGGGATTTTTGTGCCATTCCCAGAATTTTTTTTTTTTTAATTTTTGTGCCATTCCCAGGATTTTTTGGAGGGATTTTTGTGCCATTCCCAGGATTTTTTGGGGGGGATTTTTTTGGACATTCCCAGAATTTTTTTTTTTATTTCTGTGCCATTCCCAGGATGATTTTTTGGGGGGATTTTTTGTGCCATTCCCAGATTTTTTTTTAGTTTTTGTGCCATTCCCAAATTTTTTTTTTTTTTTAATTTTTGTGCCATTCCCAGGATTTTTTGGGGCGATTTTTCTGCCATTCCCAGAATTTTTTTTTTTTTTAATTTTTGTGCCATTCCCAGAATTTTTTGGGGGGGATTCTTGTGCCATTCCCAGAGTTTGTTTTTTAATTTTTGTGCCATTCCCAGAATTTCTTTGGGGGAATTTTTGTGCCATTCCCAGGATTTTTTGGGGGGATTTTTTTGTGACATTCCCAGATTTTTTTTGTGGATTTCAGTGCCATTCCCAGGATGATTTTTTGGGGATTTTTGTTGTTTCTCACCCCGGCTCCTCGGGCAGGAGGGGTTCCCATCTCGCCGCCTTTTCCGCCGCCAAATTTTCCCGATTTCCCAAATTCTTGAGGTGCCAACGGAGCCGGGGGGCGACGGCGCGGGGCTGGGGTGGGGGGAGACCCCAAAATTACACCCAAAATACCCCAAAATTACACCCAAAATACACCCAAATTACACCCAAAATACACCCAAAATACACCCAAAACACACCCAAAATACACCCAAATTACACCCAAATTGCACCCAAATTACACCCAAATTACACCCAAAACACACCCAAATTACACCCAAAATACACCCAAATTGCACCCAAAACACACCCAAAACACACCCAAAATACACCCAAAATACACCCAAAACGCACCCAAATTACACCCAAATTACACCCAAAATACACCCAAAACACACCCAAATTACACCCAAAACACACCCAAAATACACCCAAANAAAATTCCACCAAAATTGGGGCTGTTTGGGGAGATTCTGGGGGATTCCCGGTGGAAATTTGGGAGATTTTTGAGTCCTGGCCTGGATCTGCTTCCAAAAACCTGCAGGGATCCCAAAAAAATTCCTCAAAGTTCCCAAAAATTCCCCAAAATGCCACAGAATTCCAAAAAAATTCCAAAAAATTCCGAGATTCTGGAACTATCTGGGGAGATTCTGGGACATTCCCAGGTGGAAATTTGGGAGATTTTGGGGTCCTGGCCTGGATCTGCCTCCAAAAACCTGCAGGGATTCCACAAAAATTCCTCAGAATTCCCAAAAATTCCACAAAATTCCACGAAATTCCCAAAAAATTCCACAAAAATTCCCCAAAATTCCAGGATTCTGGGACTCTCTGGGGAGATTTTGGGGTTTCCTGATGGAATTTTTGGGGATAATTGATGGAATTTTGGGGATCCCAGGTGGAAATTTGGGAGATTTTGGGGTCCTGGCCCGGATCTGCTTCCAAAAACCTGCAGGGATTCCACAAAAATTCCTCAAAATTCCCAAAAATTCCACAAAATTCCACAGAATTCCAAGAAAATTCCACAAAAATTCCAAAAAAATCCGGGATTCTGGGACTCTCTGGGGAGATTCTGGGGGATTCCCAGGTGGGAATTTGGGAGATTTGGGGGTCCTGGCCTGGATCTGCCTCCAGAAACCTGCAGGGATCCCCAAAAAATTCCTCGAAGTTCCCAAAAGTTCCACAAAATTCCACAAAATCCAAGAAAATTCCAAAAAAATTCCAAAAAATTCCGGGATTCTGGGACTCTCTGGGGAGATTCTGGGACATTCCCTGGTGGAAATTTGGGAGATTTTGGGGTCCTGGCCTGGATCTGCTTCCAAAAACCTGCAGGGATTCCCAAAAATTCCTCAGAATTCCCAAAAATTCCACAGAATTCCCAAAAATTCCACAGAATTCCCAAAAATTCCACAGAATTCCACGAAAATTCCACAAAATTCCACAAAAATTGGGGCTGTTTGGGGAGATTCTGGGGGATTCCCATGGAAATTTGGGAGATTTTGGGGTCCTGGCCTGGATCTGCCTCCAAAAACCTGCAGGGATTCCACAAAATTCCTCAGAATTCCTCAAAATTCCCCAAAATTCCACAGAATTCCAAAAAATTCCGAGATTCTGGGACTCTCTGGGGAGATTCTGGGACATTCCCAGGTGGAAATTTGGGAGATTTTGGGGTCCTGGCCTGGATCTGCTTCCAAAAACCTGCAGGGATTCCCAAAAATTCCTCAAAATTATAAATTTTTGGGAAATTCCCAGATTTTTGGGGGGATTTTTGGGACGTTCCCAATGGATTTTGGGATCTCTGACGGATTTTTGGGACATTCCCGGATTTTTGGGGGATTTTTGGGACATTCCCAGATTTTTTTGGGCATTTTTGGGACGTTCCCGATGGATTTTTGGGAAATTC